GATGTTTAGTCATGTTTATTTTGTGCTGAAACTGGTATTAATGTGGAGGAGATGATCAGTTCACGTGCGCCTCGCGCTGCCGCATCTGTTGATCGAGGCACTACAGCGATCTGTCACTCCACATTAAACAGCGCCAAAACGACATTAATTGTAATAATGCAATACATTGGACAGAATTTGAAATCTGAGACTTTGTTTCATATTAAAAGTACCAAAGCACAATGCTTATCGCGATATATTGGATGGGAAGTGTCCTTCAACGTTCCATCTATTAACTGAAAACAGGCTAGACTAATCGATTCGTGGGATTTAAGAATCAATATCGTTCCGTAAAAATGAGAATCGATTGGCTATTATCGAGATATCGATATTTTTTACCCAGCCCTAATGGGGTCAGTAAGATTTATCGTTTATTGTCTATTGTCAATAGAATGTGGACTCGTACACATGGTTTATTTTACCTCATCTAGTGTACTGATTTATTATAAGCTATTTATTATATGAGTTCATATCAAAGACTTAGATGGGCATCTCTGTCTACATCTAGACTAATCGATTCGTGGGATTTAAAAATCAATATCGTTCCGTAAAAATGAGAATCGATTGGCTATTATTGAGATATCGATATTTTTTACCCAGCCCTAATGGGGTCAGTAAGATTTTTAAGACGACATATAATTTTACAAAAGTTTTCTATTTCAAATAAATCCACAAAAATATTAGGCAGCACAACTTTTTTTTTGAACACTGATAATAAGAAATGTTTCTTGAGCACCAAATCAGCATGATTTCTGAATGATTCTGTGATACTGAAGACTGGAGTAATGGTTGATGAAAGCTTTGCCATGACAGGAATAAATTATATTTTAAAATATACTACAATAGAAAAAAAAAATATATAAAATTGTAATAATTCACAATGTTACTGCATTTATGATCAAATAAATGCAGCCTTGGTGAGCATATTCTTTCAAAAGCATTAAAAATCTTACCAACCCTAAACTTTTCAACGGTGGTGTGTATATATGTTTAATAATGTCACTAATTAAGATTCATTTGCTCAGAAAGCCTTGTTTTGTGCCAGAAATAATGCAGGTCTAACTAAATTATTTTATTTACATATTAATTTCCATTTAATATAATTATTTATGTTTTAACGCCGTATCAGCAACAATGGCTATATTCATGGCAACATTAACAATATTATTTCAATTCATCATTTACAATAATATAAAATTTTCTTAAGAAACAATCATTACACAAAAGCATACAAGAAACAACAATAGTACGGATAAAAATCATATACAATCATCCAGTTTAATCTGTGATACAAATTCTAAAATTCTTCCAGGAGAGATTTTTTTTTTTTTTAAATGTCTTTTAGTATATTTTCCGAATAATGTCATAATAATGCAGGTCTAACTAAATTATTTTATTTACATATTCATTTCCATTTAATATAATTATTTATGTTTTAACGCCATATCAGCAACAATGGCTATATTCATGGCAACATTAACAATATTATTTCAATTCATCATTTACAATAATATAAAATTTTCTTAAGAAACAATCATTACACAAAAGCATACAAGAAACAACAATAGTACGGATAAAAATCATATACAATCATCCAGTTTAATCTGTGATACAAATTCTAAAATTCTTCCAGGAGAGATTTTTTTTTTTTTTAAATGTCTTTTAGTATATTTTCCGAATAATGTCATTGTCTAATATAATTTAAAATTGGACTTTCTATTAAAATATGTTTTACACTCAAAAAATTCTTACACAAGTCACATACTGGTTTCTCATCTCCTATCAATAAATATGAATGAGTGAGTCTTGAATGTCCAATTCCACATCTTGTATATACAACCTGCTCATATCTATTTTCAAAACAGTAATTACTTCTGTAATTTACTACTGGATTCACCTCATATAGTTTGATCCATTTAATAGCTCAAATCTCTACAAAGAGTCAGCTACATTTCGTTAGTAGCTTATAGTAAAGATAACTATAACTTTTTTATTTGTTTTTATTAATAAAATAAAAAGTAGCCTGACTATAGTTTAACTATAGTCAATAGTTTAGCTAGTAGCTTTACAGTAGAATGCCTACCACACATGAAAGCATTCCTACAGATAAAACTCTACATAACAGATAAGGATTTAGGAATGAAGAACTTTGTCCAACTTAGGGGTGGGCGATACGGCAGAAAATATAATATCACAATTTTTTTCAGGAAAATCACGATTCCCGATTTTAGCACGATTCTTTGTCATGCTGGTTTTACTATTTTCAAAACTAATTCCCTATTTTAAAATCAAATCCTTACAAAGTAACAACAACAACAACAACAACAACAAAAAGGCAGATATTTAGGCCAAAGTGGGCAAAGATAAAAATCTTTGTCATTATTTTATCTTTGTTATTAAAAAATAAGAACAAAGATACACATTTTGAATACACATAATATACAAATAAAACAAACAGTGCTTTATTTTTCAGGTACAGAAGGTGTATTTAGCAGTAGCATTCAAGAAATGTAATGAACAAATATAAAAATAAAACACTATACACTTCACTGTATAACTTATACACTGATTCTTATTTAAGCAACTGTAAGTTCTTCAGTCAAGAGCAGTGAGTGATTTTTCTCTTTGTGTTTCGTTGTTTTATTAAGATTAAAGAGGTAGTTCACCCAGAACTGAAAATTCTGTCATCATTTACTCACTCTCAAGTTGTTTTTAACCTGAATGAGTTTCTTTCTTCTGTTGAACATGAAAGTTATTTTGAAGAATGTGGGTAACCAAACAGTTGCTGGTCCCCAGTGACTTCCATAGTATTTTTTTTCCTACTATCAAAGTCAATGGGGAGCAGCAACTGTTTGGTTACCCACATTTTTCAAAATATCTTCTTTTGCGTTCAACGCAAGAAAGAAATTAATACAGGTTTGTAAATAATGTAAAAAATGAGTGAATAATGACAGTGACGCAGGGCTCGCAAAATCGCTAGCCCGACGTCCCGGGGCTATTGTGTTTTACAGTCGGGCTACCAAAATATACAGAGCGGTGTTTCAGGCAGAGCACGAACACAGAATTGATTCCTCTTTTGCTTGAACGGACACATACAAGCAAAATAATCTCAAAATAACTACCTCGGAAAGTATTTTCATGTCTTAAATGAACGTAAACAGTGGAGAAAGAAATCGCACATGCATCATTATATTGGATCTGTGCATTTTTGCTGTGGTATCGAAGTAGTAAATTGTTCTTTAAATAATAAGCGTTACTTAAATTATAAAGAATATAATATTTTTAACATATTGAGATAAAGATATTTTTTTTGCTTATCTGAAAAATTATCCGATCTGTGACTCAAGATGTGATATGATAATGTAATATAATCCGAACCGTCAGATTTGTGATCCGTTGCACCCCTACTCTCTTGACTTGTTATTTGAAGAAAAAATACAATATATTTTATTCAGGCTAGTTAAATTCATTTTTGGGCTACCAAAATCTGAAGATTGCCTGCCCGAAGGGCTACCAGGGATTTTGAAATTTTGCGAGCCCTGTGACGCTTCAGGTGAAATGTGAAACCTGCAAGGCTTTAGAAGCACATGCAAAAATGATTGCAAAGTGCAATGTCCTGTGAGCGTAACTATACCGCTGAGTTAACATTTGACGTGAATGTATGTCGAGTTGTACAGTATACTGAGACGGAGGTGCCAGAACTGCAACTGATGTGGGCTGTAGCACAATACTGCGACATTTCTTCAAAAGCAGATCGTGGAGACATTTTAAGCGTCCACGATCAAAAATCGTGATATTGCACACCCATAGCCCAAATCTTTTAATTATTTTCTGCATTAAATAGAGAAGGAATCAAATGAATCAACTGAAGCGTAAACTCGAATCTCACCTTCCAGCATTTCCTCATAGAGTGCATGAACTCCCTCTGGAATAATGACAGCCAGTGCAGTGCCACACAACAGCCCGGCTCCCAACACTGTCACCAACTTCAGCTTTTCCTGAAGACAGAACAGTCATCACAAAAACGTGTATTTAGGTCACACGATTATGTATTTAGGTGGGGTTGATATCAGGTCAACTTCATGTGCATAAGCTGGATATCATTAAAAATAGCTTAAAAATATATTCATCAAGACAAGCATGCTGGTACAATCGCAGCGCTCATTCAAACCCAAACTTCATCTGGGACAAAACCAGGGCCATAATCACCACAGACAGAGCAATAAAATGGCAGATACATTAAATAATATTGAGCAATTTTGAGATCATCAGCATTTGGGCTGCAACAAACTATTATTTTGACAATCGATTAATCTAACGATTATTTGGATGATTAATCAACTGATCGTCGATTATTTCGCTGATTAATCAGTAGACATTTATTGATTATTCAGCTTTTGCAATTAGTTAAAATATTGAGTTATACATATTCTAACAAATAAATTAAGGTAATCACTTCAGCTTTTGAAATTCATATTATGTAATTACAATTATAAAATAAATTTATACAAATAAATATATTTGGCACACAAAATGAGATGGCAGAGAAACTCTTATTTACCATTTAATTAGCTATATGAGAAAGTAGCTGAATGACACATCATTCTGCCTAAAA